TAAGTGGCTCTCCGTGCGGTGACGGCGGTGGCGAAGTGCCTCGCGGCGGACATGCGGAAACACTTTTGCGTCTGGCGGCGCCTCGGCAAGGCGGACGCGGCCTTCATCGCGACCCCGCCGGCCTGCGTCAACGTTAGCATTGCTCTGCGGCACAAGAGCCGCGCTGCCGACGTCCGCGCCAGCCCCACCGGCGGAACCCGCGCTGCGCCTGCGACGACCACTGACGCCGGCCTCACCGCCGACACCCCGCGGCGACCGGAGATGCGGCAGCTCCTGCAGCAACTTGTGTGGAGGGCAAAGGAGGCGCTTCTCACAGGGGCAGCGAGGACGCAGAGGCCAGAAGGGACGGGGAGAGGAAGGGAGCGGAGCGGCGGACCGGGCACGTCGCGGCGCCTGCCGTCCCCCCGCATCCACCCCGCAGACAACACCGGGCTGTTTGAGGTGGAGTGGGGTGAAGCGGGACGGCCAACGCGAAGGACACACGATGTCCCGTCCCCGAGCGTCTTCGAAGCGCCGACGCTGGAGGAAAGCATCAAGCTCCTGTGTGGGCTGCTTGCCGTGACACTGAAGGAGCGGAAAGGGGCGGCGTCGCCGGAGTTTTTGTCGCCGCAAGTGACCATGACGCTGCCGCCGCTGAAGACGGTGGAGGCCGTTGTGGCGCCGCTGGGCCGTCAGGCGCGACTCTGGAGTGAGCTGCGGGAGTGGCACGTGCTGCTGTCATGTGCGTCGGCCACGTGTGTCCGCGTCGGTCGGGAGTCCGCCACCGAGGCGGCACTGCTTGCTTCGGTGCGGTCGTTTTTAGATACATTGGACGCCTTGTGTTTGCCCGCCGACACGCCGAAGACGCAGCGGCGTCATCACAGAGTTGCGAAGGGAGACAGCAGGGGGGCCCATGCTGTAGAGGATACACTAACTAACGTGCTGTGGCGTGCGGCATTGATTTGCCGTGTGATGGAGGAGCTCGTGCGGACCGCGCGGGAGGCGCCAGCGGCGCCGCCCAACGCGACGGAGGGGGATGAGTATCTGAGGAGCCCCGAGAATCTGCGTCAGCTGGCGAGGGTTGTACAGTGCGTGATGTGCGAGCTGGAGCAGCGGGTGTTTACTGTGCAAGAGCGAAATGGGCCAGCCGCGTCGCTGGAGGGGTTTGCGGCCCTTGTTCTAAAGTCTTTTCACCGTTGTTGTGCCCCCGATCGCGAGGACCGGCATCCGACGGCGTACAAGGGGGAGCTGGCTGACGCGCTGCTTTCATTTTGTGCCGCATACTTCAAAATGATCCCGTTTTGCCTCCTGGCAGGGGATGTGGAGGCGCAGAAGCCGGCGGAGGTCGCCGTGGGCGCGGCGAGGGAGGAAGACTGCTGCACCGTCACGACGGTGCGCACGCTGCGGCAGTGCTGGGTGCGGCATCAATCCACACTGCACATCCACGGCGCCGGGGGCGCCTTCTGGTGGCTCCGGCTGCTCCCCATCGTGCTTGAAGGCTACGCAGACGTGACGGCGCGGCTGCACGAGCAACACCTTTGCGGCGGCAGCCAAACGGACCCCAGGCAGCTGGAGACGGTGCAGACGGAACTCTTCAGCATGCTGAGCTCCATGCTGTACTTTGACGAGAGGGTCTTTGAGGAGCGGCGCGCTTCGCTGATGGCAGAGTCCGCTGTGGAGGCTGCGGGCGGCGGCGCGGGGGCGGGGGCGGAGGGCGCCAGTGATGCACGACTGCGACGACACCGCGGGGGTCGGTCGCTCTTTAAGAAGCAGGACGAGAAGGAGGGGGTGCTGCTCCCCAGCTCTGCGGAGGCTCTGCAAATGTCATCCCGCTTCTCCTCACGTCGGGTGTGGGAGGCGACTGCGGTGCCGGCCAATGCGACGGAGGCGGCGAGCGGCATGACGGGCAACAGCCCTCTCTTTGACCTCCTTGTCGCTTCGAAGGATGCCGTGCTGCGGCTCTCTGATTTGTACGCCGTGGAGGTCTACCACCGCAGCTCGGCGCTGGAGGTGATGTGGCTGGCGCTGCTGGCGGCGCATCGTCGCGTGCAAAAGATGAAGTCGACCCGACGCACGACACCGCGGGCGCAGCGGCAGGCGCAGCCGGGGGATGCCATAACTGTGGAACGGGCCTACGAGACGGCCCAGAACGACGACTCGGAGCTGATGTTTCCACCGTTTGTGGCTGTAAGTCTGCGGCACCTGTCCACCGCCCTGGCGGCCGCCGTGCACCGCACGTACGAGATGGCCGACACGCTGCTCGCACGCGATGGCAACATCCGTCGCGCGGTTGGCGTCGCCATCGTTGCAGGTACGCAGGAAACGCTCTTGCGGAATTCCTTCTACTCGGAGGCACTTGCCAGCAACTGGTGGTTGCGGAGTAGCGCCCCGTTTCTACTGCAGAGGCGTGCGCCGTGTAACCTCCCTCTCCCCTCCGTACTTGAGGGAAATCTCATGCATCTGCTGGCGCAGCGAGCACGCCGGCATGAAGGCCTGGACTGGTTGAAGCGCTCCACGGCGACGGCGCTGGAATGTCTCACGGCTCCCGTCGCCACACCGCATCTCTTTCCTGTCACTAAACAGTGGACGGGGGCATTGGTTCTATCCAATCTTCGCGATGTGGCGCACCTACTGAAGAGTGGCGGCAACCTGCACGCGTCACCCACGCCAACCGAGGAGGAGCTGAAGGAGCTGCATGCATGGGCGTCGAATACGTTTTCGTCTTTGCTCTCCGCCCTTACTGGGGATGTGGAGCTGCTGCTTCTCTGCGGGTACGCGAGTTTCATTGATGCGCTCTTTGAGCTGCATCTACGTCTGGGGACGAGTCAGCAGGAGCTGATGCACTTCGGTGACAACGTCCTGATGAAGCGTGTGCTTCCTGCGTTGCTGCTTGGACTTTTGAAGAGCGCGGAGGAGGACACCCCAGAGACGCATGCCGCGGCCTGCGAGTCCGCGCTTTTTGTTCTTGCCGAGTTGTCAAGGTTTGCCTCCTGGCCGGACCTGACACTCGCGACGGTTCTCCGTAGTGACGACAGCGATCTATTGATTGCAGTGGCGGTGTACTGCCTGCGACAGGCGCGACGCGGGGGTGGGAAGCAGGCCAGCGACTACGGTCTGCCGGCGGCGCAGTTGCCGCTTGTGGAGTACACGCAGGTGCTGCAGAGCAGCGGCAGCGTTTCCTTTCTCTTGCGCCGGGGCAGTGGACACTCGTACCTGCACGTGCTCGACCTGAGTAACAGTTTGCTTCCCTTCTCACGGGTGCAGCCGATCTACGGCGATCGCGAGGGCAGCTGCGTCGCGGCCTTGCAGCATTACTTGCAGAACGTGCAGCGGGTGTCGGCGTCGTCGGCTGCCGAGCAGCGGCAGCTGTTGGAGGAATCCGTGAAGTGTCTGAGCTTCATGGCGAACACATCCATCAGCGCCCACGTCCTCGGCTACCTGGTTCGCTTTATTGAGCACTACCTGCGCGTGCAGGAGCGGCTCTCGCGCGCCCCGCTGGACGGCTCCTCCGCCGAACCGGCAAACGCCAAGCGGCGCGAGAATGCGATGGCGTCCCTGACGCGTGTCGAGACGGCGCCGCTGGTGCTGCTTGACTACATCGGCTACCTCAGCTCCGCCGGAAGCTGGACGATGGTGACGTGGGCCTTCAACCTCGCCGAGACGGCGCTGAAGATTCGGCGCAAGCATCAGCTGGCCACAACAACTTCCGTCGGAGATGTGGCGACGACGGCGATTCTCTCGCAGCTGCGTGCCTTGTCGCTCCCGACCACGCCGCGACTGCCGCACAGCCTCCTGAAGAGTATTCTCTGCCTCTCGGACATCATGTCCGAGTCGCCCATGACGCTGCTCGGCTTTGACCGTGGCACCCCGCTGCACGGGCTCCTACGGCACGCCACACGCGGCGAGTACCGTACAATGCTTTTTGCCATGAAGCAGGCGGTGATTCTCGTGCAGCGCGCATCTGCGAAATACCGGGCCTCGCCTCCCCAACGCTGCGGGGCGGAGGAGCTTGCCAGGAGGCAGGAGGCAGCGAAGGCGTTGGAGGAATATGGGGATGAAGCGGAGGCAATGGATCGCACGAAGAAGAAGGAAGACGAAGAACACGAGGGGGGAGCCAGAGAGGGTAGCGGGACGTATTTTGCGGCCCCGGCTGCCGCACACACCCCTGAGGCACAGCGTGAGTTACGCGTCTTTCTTGGCTGCCTTGTCGCTTGCTTTGACAACGTGCTTGACGTTATTCGGGGCTGTGCGCTGCAGCAGGACATCCTTGGCGATGAACTTCGCGAGGTACTCCTGCTGGCACTGCAGACGTTGTTTCACGTGTTGCACGGATGTGTGCGCACGGTTCTTGCCTTGCCGGAGCACACGTGGGACCGCTTCCGGGCAGAACGTGCCCATCTGCTGTGGGTAGGCCTCTGCGTGGCGGGATTGGTGGGACGCGTTGTCGCCGTGGACCACGGCCGTGTGTGTTTCACCGGTGGCCTGCGACGCTCCACGGAGTCTCTGCTTGCCGCCATTGGAGAGCTGGTGGAGGCGTGCGTCGAGGGTGGCGGCCACAATCGTAGAAGCGACGGCGGCGGCAAGAAGCGAGGCTGCGCCCACGCGGAGAGCGCCACGCCGCTGCTGGACACACTGACGGAGAGCGTGCAAACGATACTGCGCGACCTGCAGGTGTCACATCGCGTGGCGATACGACTCGGTCTTGGCATGCAGCAGCGCACTGACCTCACAGCCATCATCACCTCCCTGCGTGCGTTTGCGGCGGCCTCGGCGCGCTATGAGCCTGCCGGCCGCGTTATCCACCGCGTCTGGCGTGTGGTGAGTGCGGAGGTGGGCCAACCAAAGAAACCGCGGGGGCGGGGGCAAAAGCGACTGCCGAATGCGTCTCCTCCGGCAGCGGCACTGCGTGTGCCCTCTATAGACGAGCTGCAGCTTCTTGTGGAGTCGTTTCGGGACTTGGAGAACGAACTGAAAAGTGTGGCCTCCGCCAGAAGGGCGGAACACCGATCTGCTGATTTTGTGGTGGACTGGGCCTGTGAGGACGCCGCATCGATGCTTGACCGCGTCACGGAGGACCCGACGTTGGTGCAGAGTAGAGAAACACGCGCTGCAGCGTTGGGCGGCGGCGGCGACGACGAGGCGGGGGAGGATGAGTCGCTGCTGGATGTCGGCGTTGGTGCCGCGGAACCGCGGGCTTCACTGAGCGCCGGCACACTTGTCTGCATGGATGCCGCCAATCTCCTGCAGGAGGAGGAGGAGGAGGGGCAGGCAGCGGGGGGAGGCGGGGGCGAGCTGGTTTCTCACGGCGACCTTATCGAGGCGCTGGTTCGGCAGTGCCGTCGGGTGCAGGTGTCCTCGGCGGCGCCGGCCAACGTGGATGCCGCGCTCTCTATTCCGCAGACAAGTAAAGTTCTTGGGACGCATTTTAACTGCGTGAATGCCGTCTTTGCGCGATGCACGCTGGCGGAGATTGTTGCCGTCCCGTACGCGGAGCTCGTCTTTGGCAGCCTCGAACTCTTCGCCCGTCGGCGCTCCCCGGTGCCGCTGGAGAACTGCCGCGTCTTGTGGGGTCAGCTCGCCCAGAAGTGGCGGAGGGAGTTCCTCGAGCCCCACAGTCTCCGCTTTGAGGAGCTGCAACGCGAGCTCCTGCAGCTGGTGCGGCAGCGCCGCTCGTTTGTCCGGTTGGGCGAGAAGGAGGCGAACGGTGACGTGGGCAACGGCGGAGCGGCGGTGACGGCGGTCGCCCCGCTCTTTTCCTCCCAGGAGAATGTCATGGCGCAGCTCTCGAAACGCGACGCGACCGCCGTCCCATGCGATGTGGAGCTTCCGCCCCATGACGACATCGGCGGTCTGCGGGGGGAGCGGGTGGGAACGAAGTCGCGTGGGAGGAGCCACCGCGACTACGAGCAGCTGCTGCAGCAACAGCGACAGGCGCAGGGGAAGCCGCCCGTGCCGTTGGATGTCCTTTTCACCCTCCTCAGCGATCTTCCGCGAGGGCCACGTGGCGAGGTGGAGCTGGAGAACTTGGCCAGGGTGGTCGCGACGTACGTGGCGAGGCAGTACCTTCTTCTGCGTCCGCGAAGCGATGGAAATGCGATGAACGTCATGCAATTCCTCCAGCGTCCCCACCAACTTGGCCCACGGCTGTACCAGCGGCGGCGCCTCCCGGTGAGCTGCGCCCACGCCGCTGACGTGGCGGGGTGGTTTTTAACCCCCACGGACCGCCGGTCGTTCATGCATGCCCTGTCGCACGTATGCGATGGGGAGGAGGTGGGGGCGGCGTTAAGCTCGGCAGAGCACGGCGTCTTTGAATACATGCGTTTGTCGTGTCTCTACCTGCATCTTCTTTCCCTCATCGTGCACGTCTGCCATCGGTTTCGCTTCCTCGGCGACGGCGAGCTGCGGGACGGGGTGCGGCAGCAGCGGCAACATGGCCCTCGCGGATTTGATGAGGAGGGTGGAGATGCGGCCCAGTGGGGCGGGTTTGGCAGCCCGGACGCGGAGGCGCGGCGGGCGGAGCGTCAGCTGCGGGCGGATACGCGACAGACCGAGGCAGACAGTGTCAACATAAATCTACTGGAGAATACGCTGCTGCACTTCTTGAACGTTGCCCTGACGCTCGTGGAGCACGCCGACGTGATGACGCACCGCGCGACGAGTATTGCCACGGCCCCGGGCAGCGACCACGACCACGCCCGCAAGGCGCTCCTCTACGCGGATGAGTTGCGTTTGATGGTTGGGGTTGCCTTGCAGGACACCCTGCGCGTGCTTCTCCGGGAGGCGCCGTTGGGCGTTTCACTCGCCCGCCGCGTCGTGCATCGCATTATCTGCAGCTTCTCCTGTGACCCCTTTCCCACCGCGTCACTGAGTGAGTCCTCGACGGGGAAGCAGAGGGGGCGTGCTTTGCTGCACCTGCCCCCGGTGAACACGGCGGCGTTGGAGGCGTGGCGCTCCAAGCGACCAGAGCTGTTTGTCCGCTCTCCCACGCTGCTGTGTGTTCTGTCGCCTTCCTTCTTCAACGAGGTGCTCGCGCAGCACATCCGCAATGCCCTGAGCCTCACCCTGACCCAGGTCGTCGCCTCCCTGCACTTTTACCTGCGTCGCCCGGACGCCCACTTGTCGCCCCTGATGGCGGCAACGACGAGTATTCTCTCAAGCACGTACGTGCGAAATGCGGCGCTGCGTCTGTTTTGCGAGGAGCTGTGCGGGCAGATTGTGGAGCGGACGAGTTTCCGCGAGGCGCTTGCGCCGCCAACGGTGGCCTCCGTGCAGCAGGGGGCGGCGGGCTCCGTCCCGGACGAGGTCCTCATCCCGTTTCTTGCCTCCATCTGCCGCGAGGACGCCTTCGTGAGCAAGAATGCGCTGGCAATTGTCCTGCACCGCAGCATGAGCCTCCGCCCCGACGTGTTTGGGCAGCCCCCCACCGTGGACCGCTTCGCCAGGTTTGCCATTGCCCGCAGAGGCGGCAGCAGCAGCAGCAGCAATAACAATAATGGTAATAACAACAACCTTAATAACAACGGCGACCGCGGCTTCGCGTCGGCCGCAGAAGGAGCTGCCCAGGGCAGCAGTAGCAGTGTTGCCGCCGCTGCTGCCGCCGCTGCTTTTGCTGGAGGAGGAGGAGGAGGTCACGCGGGCGTTGGCGCGCGGGAATGGGCGGCCAAGCGCCGATTGAGTCTGGGCGTCACGCACGCGGATGTGCTGCTTGAAGGCCCCATGTCGGCCGATGCGGTGGCGGCAGCCGTGATGGATGACGCCGCCGCCATGGAAGCCGCGGACACGGGGGAGGAGGAGGCGGAGGAGGTCGAGGCACTCGGTCGGTTCATGGCGGACCAGTCTGAGGAGACGGCAAACCGCACACACAAACACGCCCTCGCCTCACTCAACCTCACCCTGGCGGAGGTGATGGAGACGGCAATGCACTTTGCCGCCATGCGGCAGATGTCGGCAGAGGAGTACAAGAAGGCACGGGCTATGATACGGGCCGCCGATGATGCACGACATGAGCGCATCGCGGCATTTCGCAGTGCTGCGCCAGCAACTAGTTCGCCTCATGGCAGGGGGGCGGTCTCCTCTTTTGCTGCGGCTAACGCCCCCACGGTCGGTTTTCCTGATGCCGCATTGCACATTGAGGAGCCCATGCATTTTGGTGTGGGGATGCTGCATATTCGGTTTGCGCTGCGAAAAATTATTCACGTTTCGATGCGTCGATTGGCGGCCCAGCAGGGGCCCAAGACACTTTCCATGATGGTTGAAATGCTGCGTGAGGTTGACCCCAAGTGGCGCCAAAGCCAAAATAACACCGGCAGTGAACTCCGTCGGCAGTCGGATAGCATGCTTGCCGGGACGCTTCGCGTGCTCGTGGCACGTTCTGTAGTGTGTGTTGATCTCGCAGGGGAGGCGGAGGATCTCCTTGGCGGCGGGGCTGGCGGCGTCGCCATGAGTGCAGTTGGCTTGCAGCGCACGGAGCGGGCATTGTACTTGGTGCAGCGCACGAAACAGGGACATGCCGCTTCTGGTAGTAGTAATGGCGGTAGCGGCGGTGACCGCGTTGGCAGGCGGTTGCCTCTGCGGCATCGACGAGCTGCTGCTGCAGGTCTTTCTTTGGCCGACAAACGGTCGGCTTCCTGAGGCGTCTTTCTTTGCTTGTGTGTTTGTGTGTTTGTGTGTGTGTGTGTGTGTGTGTGAAATTAGTAGCGTCACCGGAGGTTGTATGCCCTCGCGTCTTCTTTACAGTTTTCATGTAGCCCTCCAAGCGTCACGGCGCCTGTAAGAACTAAAAAACAAAAACAAAAACAAAACGCATCACGCGGTCCTTCATGTTGTGTGTGACGTCTTTGTTTGCGCCGTTTTCGTTCCCTTCACACGCACACGCTGCAGCCGCCTCGCACGGCTTTTCTTCCTTTCTTTATATATTTCTTTCTCTCGGTCTCTCCCTCCCTCCCTCTCTGGCTGCACCGTGGTGGCGGGGTTGGTGTGGTGGAGGAATCCAAATGCCATCCACCCCCCGCGCAGGGCTGGAGGCAGAGGCAAGCGTGGCTGCGCTTCCAACGCAGCCCCCAGGGACGCCGCTGGGCCGGAGGAACCCGCAGCTGCACTTCCCGCAGGTTGCGGGGGGCGAGCTGCGCCCGTCACTCCTCACGCGTCTGCGGCAGGGCGACGCGCGGGCCCCCGGCACGCCGGACGGGGCGCCGTCGGGGGCGGCCGGGGGGATGGTGGGGCGGCGGGCAGGCCTGGCGCCGCACGAGACACCGACGCCCGCCTCCGCAAGGGACAAGCGCCTGCCGGCGACCCCGAATTCGGTGACGCTGCGCGGGTCGTTCGCGGGCCCGGCGTCGGCCGTCCCCGGCAGCGCCCCGAGACTTGTCACCGCCCCCGGCACCCTGCTCGGCGGTACGGAGGGGCAAAAGGCAGAGACGAGAGCAAAAAGCAGCCGACAACCCCCTGCCATAAGCGTGCGGCAGACAACGACGTCGCTGCTGCGCATCTTGGGCGAGGCGAATGCCGCTCGCAACGTGTCACCCGCGCGCGCGTCTTCTTCGCACACCACGAAGGCCGCCTCCTCACAAGAGCTGTCAACACCGCCCGGTGTTCAGCCCACGAAGGAGGCCGCGCAGCCCAAGAAGAAGAAGAAGAAGAAAAAAGGCCAAAAACATGCAAAGATGCTGCCCAAGACGCAGCTGATGGATCAGCCGGGAAGGGAAACCACGGAGACGGCTTCCGCGTCCGCCACGCAAGAGGCAGTCCTTTCCACCCCAACGACGACGAGCAATGACAGCAAAATGACTTTTGACACTCCCTTGCCGAGCATGCATGTTCCCTTTCACGGCGGCTCGTTTGGGGGTAAGGCCGTGCTTATTGTGCCGTCGTCGTCGTCGTCGTCGTCGTCAGGGTACGACGTGGCGAGGAGTAGTGCCATTGCGGCAGCAAAGCCGAACACGTCCAAGAAGAGACGTGGACACCCTACCACTTTCAAAATGAACGGTGCAAAGGGCTTGGTTGGTGTCCCGTCGGTGCCTGCCCCAACGCATGCGCCGGGAGACTCTACTACGGGAGCGAGTGTAAACAACCGAGGCCAGAGCTGTGGCACCGCCGCTGCAGCCTCGCTTAAGGGGACTTTTCATTTCCCACGTTCCTCCCTGGAGTCCCCCACGGTGGCGCCGCGGGGCGCCGCCGCAACCGTGGCCTTCTCGGAACCCTCAGCTCTGCACTCTAGCGCGACGGAAAGCGGTGGTGGTGCCTCTGACTCTCCCGCACTTGCACAGGCGCCAACGTCACTTCATCGTGCTGCGGACTCCGCCCCAAGCAACGGCGGAGGCACCACATCGCGCAAGGCGGCAACTGCAGACAACGCGGTAGATGACCCCAAGAAGGGCATGAAGGCTGGCGCGCCGCAGCATTCATCCATTCCGGGAGCGAGGGAGGGGACTGCCAGTCCGCAGCAGCAGCAACCACCAAACCTGTTAGCGGCTGGGACGCATTCCCCGTCGGACCCTCCGCCGTCGTTAGTGGCAGTCAAAAACACGCCGTTGAATGTGACGAGCACCGATGAGAAACGGAGTGGGATCCACGGCCCAGGAAGTAGAACAAGTGAAACCGCGCAGGAGAAGGGAAAAAAGGCCAACTCCTTCTCACCGCAGCCCATCTTGACGTCAGGGCGGAGCGAGGGTGAAGTGGACAAGATGCCTCCCCGCAGCTTGCTTAGCAGCCTCGCGCCAGAGCCGGCCCTCGATTCTCACCGTGGTGAGGTTTGGTCAACGGAAGCCTTCCCTGCCGCATTGATGTCGAACTATGCAACGCCCTGGCACAACGGGAGGGCGGACGCCAGCGATGTTTCGCACGCCGCTCCATCCCTGTCTCAGTATATTCACATGGCAGAGGCAGACCTTTCTGGGACGACGCTCAGCGTCATTGGGCCTCATCTTTCCATGTCTCGAACACTCCGCGTCATCAATTTAAAGGCTTGTACGACTGACGAAGAGGGACTGCGAGGATTGGCTGAGATTCGAACGTTACAGGTTCTCTGCGTCTCACATATGCGGCACCTGCACTCCCTGCGGCCACTCATTCAGCGCTGCAATGGCCTTTTTGCGGGGATAGAAGAGATTGACGCGCAGTGCACTCCCCTACAAAATGCCGGGATTGCCGGCGTGGAGTGGATGCAACGACTGCGTCGACTCTGCTTGAGCATGACGCGTGTAACCGACGTCACGTCTCTTTCAGCCAGCCGCTCGCTGGAGGAGCTGATTATGACGGGAACGCCTCTGAGGGGTGAGGGGATTCTTGGGCTAGAAAAGATACCGACGCTGCGGACGCTCGACCTCAGTCGCACCAAAGTTCAGGCGCTGCGTGAGCTCTACAGGTCAAGGTCGCTGGAGAATTTGATCTTGTATTCGTGCAAAGTAACCAACGAGGATGTGCGTCTCCTTGCGCAGATGCCGCGGTTGAAGACGCTCGATGTTAGCACAACCAAAGTAAGGGATCTTTCCAGGTTGAGTGAAAGCCCTTCGCTAAAGCGGCTAACCGCCCAGTGGCTAAGCTTGCTCAACTGCAGAGGTGCCATTGCTCCCCAGCATTCCTTTCGCAATGAAGAGGCGCATGCAAGTCCATCCCTTGAAAATAAAGATTTCTGCCGTAAAGATTCATGGTCGCCTGCCTGTTTGCATGGACGCTTTAACGACATCGACACGGAGGCTGGATTCCGTGGCTTAGCGAGCATTCCTACACTCGAGCACGTGGACCTTTCCTACTGTGCCATTCAGAGCGTAAAATCATTATTCCATAGTAAATCCATCAAGGAGTTGATATTGCGCCGCACGCTTGTCGATAATGACGGTATCGAAGGTATTCAGAATATGCGGTCATTGCAGAAACTTGTGATTAACAACACCACAGGCACCTTCTACGTGGATGAGGGTTTTCTGCTGAGTTCCGTGACGGGTGTCCTTGTCCTTGTAACGGAGCTTTCAAATGCGTTAAACCTGGTCGTCCTTGACCTTTCCTTTACGGATGTCTACGATCTTCGCATGCTCGCCGCGCTCCCCCACCTTCAGGAGCTATACCTTGTGGAGACACTTGTTACCGTGGACGGGATACGTGGAGTTGAGAGGATTCCCACACTGCGCATATTAGATCTCTCTCAGACAAGTGTTGCCTCCCTGCAATTTCTCTCCGCCGGCTGTAAAAAGCTAAAACAACTCTTCCTAAGGTCAAACCGTAATGTGCGCGGGTTTTGCATTGGCAACCTGCACGCCCTCCCCTCTCTTGAGCTGTTGGATGTCAGTGACACCGTTGTGGAGGACATTCGAATGCTTTTCCACCCCACATATTGTTTGAAGCATCTCATTTGGCGCTGGGGGGAGCGGCGGGACGTGCGAGGCCCCATTGAACCACTCCCGCCTTGGGTGAAGACACCGGTACTCGACGGGATTGAGTTGATGCCGAGGCTGGAGGTGGTAGACATCACAAATGCCGACGTTCGCGCTGTGGGCTTTCTCTCCAAAGCGAGGTCGCTGAGGCGGCTAAATCTGTCGCGGTGTAGGGCGCTGAGTAACGGCGGCATTTTGGGGCTAGAGTGCATTGGCACCCTCGAGGAGCTTGACCTTAGTCACGTGTCAGGCATCACGGATGTTAGTTGTCTCGCCAGCTCGCCCATGCTACGTGAGCTGCGGCTTGGATGGACCGGGGTCACGCTGGAGGGGCTGCGTGGCGTCAGGGCGATGCCGACGCTGAAGTTGCTTGACCTCACTGCCACACCGGCGGAGGCCGCGGCGGGGCGCAAAGGTGGAGGGTGTGTGGCACTGGCTTGCGGTCTCGACAACTACAGTCCTTGGGGGGCGCGGCTGCCTGACGCCGCAACCCAGTTAACGGAGGCCAGCGCCCCGCCGGTGCTGCTGCAGAAATGCCGAGCACGGCGCGTCTCGTTCCTGGTGTGAACGTCCGCCTTCGTCTTGGGTGTGGGGTTTGGGGGCACGCGCGCCAAAGTTAACGAAATGATGTGGGGCGGGGGAGGCCCGGTCGAGGAATTGTGCCGGGGGTGGGGGTGGCCGCCCCCGCCTGCCTGCGCATGGCTGTGGGTTTGTGCCGCCCTTCATGCGTGCGTCGGCACGGGTGGCTTGGAACGGAGGAGCACGCGCAGGACGCACCATCCGAGGCGAAGCCGGACTACATTTGCCGTCGTAGTGGAGGTGTGTGAATGGGACACCGCGACCCAACAACAACAACAAACAAACAAACAAACAAACAAAAATAGAAAGAAAAATGACGCATAAATAATGGGTTACCGTTTGGTTGGTTAACAGGGAAAGTAGGAAGGTTCGCCGCTAGTTTGTTCCTTCCCTCTTCTCTATCTACATTTGTCTTTTTTTTTCTTAATTTTATTTTCCTAGCATTTTACTAGTGTCACAGACGAGGTCTGCTTTGTATATATATATATGTGTGTGTGTGCGTGTGTATGCGTGTGTGTGTGCGTGTGTGTGTGTGTGTGTGTGGATGCATTGCCCGAAAAGGGCGGTGAATAATTTTTGGGGGATACCGATGGAGGCCGCGCCTCACGCCTCCCTCTTACAGAGATCTGCGGAAGAAAGCTGTCACTGGGACGCGGCCAAACAACTCGGCCGGTGCCGCGTTGAACTTTCCCTGCTTCTTCTTTTATTTACACGTTTTTGTTGCGTTTTACCAACGGGGTGCAGCGTTGGGAAGCAGTGAGAGTGCGCCACTTTTGCCTTTCTGCCGTACCCACCCCAGTCCCCCGCCACTAATGCCCTCCACGCGGGGGGAGCGGGTGCGGCGGCTACGCGGGAGGCCCCCCGCACCCACCCACTAAAGACGGCCGCTTTGCGAGTTTGTAACGAGATCCCGGCAACTGCCGCGGCACAAAGTTTCAGCGCCTTTGCGTACGCGTGGGTGGGTGCTGTTGGATGGATCTCCTCGTAGGTGGGGTGGGGGGATTGTTGTCACACTCAGCCCAACCGCAGTCGTTTTTTTTCTTTTTTTTTTGTGTCTGTAGCTGCTCCTTTTTGTATTTTGTATTTTTTTTCCTCCCCTTATGTGAATAGGGCGGGGAGAGTGGGGGGGGCTTCGTCAGGCGCGTGTCTGTGCCTCCCCACCCCGCTACTCCTTTTTTTTTCCTTCTTCTTTACTCTTCTTCCTCTTCTTTTTGTCTGCGCGTACGCGCCTCACCTCTGCCACCCCATTCCTGCACCACGCCTCCTCTCTCTCTCTCTCGCTGCGGGCGTGTGCGTTAACGGCTGTGCTGGGTGCGTGCCCGCACCCCCGCCGTGTGAAAATCCTTTGGGAGCCGCCCCTCCGCCCCTCTTTCTTCGGCGGAGGCGGGAGCGTGACGCGCACGTTGTCCCGCTCATCCTCCTCTCGCTCCTCCCCACGCACCCAACACCGCAGTAACAACACTTCTCCCATCTCACTCTTCGTTTGCTGCACAGGAGGCGCAAGCCCAGGCAAGCTTAAGAAAAAAAGAAAGAAAAGATAAACAAATAAAAAAAACCCAAAGCGTTTTATCTCTGTATCCAAGATATGCCACCGAAGGCAAGAGCACCACTTCCGCCCGGCGATGCTGCGAAGGGCGAGAAGATCTTCAAGGGCCGTGCGGCGCAGTGCCACACCGGCGCAAAGGGAGGAGCCAATGGCGTGGGGCCCAACCTTCACGGGATCGTCGGCCGCAAGTCCGGCACAGTGGAGGGGTTTGTGTACAGCAAGGCAAACCAGGACTCCGGTGTGGTCTGGACACCGGAGGTGCTGGACGTCTATCTTGAGAACCCAAAGAAGTTCATGCCGGGAACCAAAATGGCCTTTGCTGGCATTAAGAAGCCGCAAGAGCGCGCTGACCTTATTGCGTACCTTGAGTCGCTGCACTAGTGGGCTCCGCGTGCGTGAATGGCCCGGGGCAGCTTAAGCGCCTTCCCGCTGCCTCCCTGTGGGTTGTTTGTCTGCCTGTCTGACGCACTTCTCTGCGGACTCGCTCCCCGGCCGGCCCCGCCACAATGACCCTCCCACTTGTTTATAGTAGGAAGGTGGGTGGGCGTGGGGGGTGCGGGAGGGGAGGGAGGGGCGGAGGAGGAGCAGAACAGGATAGAAAACGATAAAAAAGAAGGAACGAAAGAAAGAGAGAGAGAAAAAAAAAAGGATGGCAAAAAATAACGAAAAAAGCAAAAAAGGAAAAAAAAAAAAAAACTTAATAGTAATAAAAGTGGGCGGGTGGGGAATACCACTAAAAGGATACGACTAGGCTGTGTGGGTCGAAGCTGGAGATGGGCTCACGTGGGGGAAGTAATAACCGGGCAATTTATAATCTAGCGGAGCAAACCACGAAGGAAGGGGGAAAAGAAAGGGAAATGAAAACGGCGTAGGAACAAAGGCGAAGAGGGAAACAAAATAGGAAAGAAGTAAAAAAAAAGAAAACTGTTTGGTCTTGTGTAAGTGTGTGTGTGTCCCTCCTGGAGGGAGTGCTGGTGCGGCACTGAGCCGAGTACGCGCTCCCCCAACTGCAGCAATTGTATGGTTTGTATTCTTCGCAACGTCCCTTAGTTTTTTTTCTTTTTTTTTTCTTTTATTTTGCTTCTCATTTTTTTCGTTGGTACATGTACTTGATTCCGCCTTCCCTGAGAGAAATAGGCAAACCTTCTCCATGCCCCATGCTCTTTTGATGCGGACTGTCTGTTGTGCGCGGTGTATTCGTGGAAGTATTTGTCATGTGCCCCTCTCTACTCCTTTTTGTTTTTGGTTTTTGCCTCCTATTCCTTTTTTTCTTCTATTTCCTCTGGTGTAAAGATAGTCCCCGGGCCCCAGTTTTTTTTGTTTTTTTCGTTTTTCCGCCTCCCTTCTGTCGAGGATGTGCAGCTCCGTCGTAAAGCTGCGGTCCTTCGTGGCCCTCCTGCTCCTCGCCGCCGCTCTTCCGTTGAGCCTTCTCAGTGTCGTCGAGAGGGCCGCGCCCTCCGAGGACGGGCTAATGTCTGACTTCTGGCAGTTGCAGCAGAAGTGCGGCCCACGGTGGCTGGGCGGCTCTCACGGGGCGAAGAACAGGGGCGTGACGTTGGCGCTGCAGTGGACGGGGGACTCCGGTGCGGTGACGCTTCGGAGCGCCCCCAGCTCCTACCTGGTGTGCAGTGGCGGAAGAGCCTTTTTCGTCATCCGCGCCGCCGTCACCGCGTCGGAGCTGTGGAGGCCGCGCGTCTTGCGTGGCGACGCACTTGTTCTCGAGTCACGCGCCAACGGCCGCTACCTGCGTCTCCGCGGCGGCGCGTTGAGTTGCGACACCGATTCGGTGAAGGATGCAACGCGGTGGAAGCTGCGTGCGCCCAAACAACGCGCCTGCCTCTCTGCAAGCGTGTTGGCGGAGAACCAAACATCTGCGGTGGCCTGTTGGTCGGCCATTGAGCGGGAGAGGGGCGCGTACCCCATGATTCTCTTCGGCACACTGAAGCCGTTGAGGCGAGCTGCGCCGAGCAATGCCTCGGACATGTTCGACCCCTTTATTATCGCGAAGCGGACGTTGATAAACTGGGCGCGGCTTCCCAGGGTGCAGCCTGTGGTGCTGACCGACGACGCGTTGTCACAAAATGTCATTCATTCTGTGAACGTCGAGCATGCGGGCCAGCACGGCTTCACCCCGATCGACATCATCGGTGAGTTTGAGCTTCAGCAAGACTATCGTCTGCCGACCTACCGCGGGTTGTTCCGGGCGGTGATTGGTAGATACCCCCTCGCAGAGGCTATCATGTACTCGAACATGGACATTCTCTATACCTCTTCTCTGGCAAGGACGGTCGACGCCGTGCGGAGTGTCTACGAGGGGGAGAGGCCTAAGAACCCGTCACGGCGAGGGTGGTTCGTCGTGGGACGCCGCATCAACGTGAATGTTCCAGCAGACTGGTCCATGGAAGGGCGGGTCTGGGAGCCAAGAATGGAGCACGGGCTCAAGCCGTCTGGAGACATGTTCGGCCCGGACGCAGAGGATTACTTTATCGTGCATCCGAAGCTCTTTAACTGGGGCGAGCTGCCCCCTTTCATTGTGGGGGGCATCGTGTTTGACAACTGGCTGACCTCGCAGGCGGTGCGTCTGCACCTGGCGGGCCAGGCGCTGGCAGTCGACGCCACCAGGACCCTGACGGCGATCCACCAGAATCACGGGAAGGACGTCTTTGCGAGTGCGCTGAAGCCAAAGTCTGCCTTCAACCTGGCGCTGATGAAAGCCAACGGCGGAATGCCCCACCGTCTCACCACGAGCTGCCCCCGTTACACGCGGGAGGAGAGCCTTTGGAGGTCCATGGTGGTCGCACGCAGGAAGGTGCCCCGACCCGAGAAGGTGTTGCCCAACTACGCGACAACCATGGCCAACGCCGCGACCGGCGCCTCCCCCAAGTAGCCGGCTGCGTCGTCGTCGTCGTCGCAGTAGGCGCGTGACATATTTACCTGTCTTCTCCCTATCTTTGCCTTCGTGGCACACCACCGCCCCTCCCCCGCTGCCCTGTTGTCTCGGACTGTGTGTATGGTGTGAGTGTAGTTGCTGTTATTATTATTATTATATTTTTTTTTTGCCGCAATCGGATTTCTCCACTCGTGTTTTATTGAGCTAATCCTGTGGCCTGCGCGCCAGTCGCCCTCGCAGGAAGACGTCTGTTCCCCCTCCTCCTCTCCCAGACGGAGATGCGGGGCCAAAGAAACAAACAAAGGGAGGGAGAGAGCCTCCCGATGGGGCGGGGTCCACAGTGAGGCGGCGTGAAGCAGATAATTTCCCTTCCCTCCATCCCTTCTTTCTTGCGCAGCTGCGCGGAATTGTGCGCTGCCGCACTATCGCCTCCGCGAAATGAACGTGGTCCGTCACTGCGACCAACAAAACTGCTTCGTCAGCCATAGCGGAGTCAAGGGGCCACGTATCGAGAAGACAAATAGTATTTTTTTTTTGAAAGACTCCTTTCTCTCTATTTTTTTCTCCCTATCTCTTGTTTACTTTCTCCTTATGTGCCAATCACGCCTTGAGGGCCCTCTTCTTGAATGCAGACATAGATGTCTGCCTTTAGCTATTTTTTTTTTTGCTGGGGAGGGGGGGAGGGGGTTTAAGCGGCCTCCTTCTTCTTGTGTTGTATGTTCTCCTTCTCGTTCTGTTGCTTCTTCTTGTAGAGGGCAAAAAAGGGGGAGGGTTTTTTTTGCCTGCCTGCGACAATCCAACGAGGTGGCAGCAGAGCGGCAGCGAAAACCAGCTGTGGGCGACGCGCGGACGTCAAAGCACACGGAGAGCACAATATATAGGCGATAGAGGGGGGCAGGAGAGCCTGGGCGACGGCGTGGGCGTGGGTGCACGAGGGAGGGGTGTGGAGGGAGGGCGCATACGATGCCGTACCAACTTTATTTGCACCGCAGATTTGATATTCAGCTCTCTCCGGTGGCGGCGAGCATTATTGATTGGGCACCGCCACGCCGCGATGTTCAGGTGGGCTCCGACGTAGCGCCCAGTTTACCCTCGTCAAGCGACGGTAAGGCCACCGCGAGAAATACAAGCTGGAACAAATCCTTCTGTGGTGGGGGAAACACGGATGACACGGATAATACGGTGCTTAGCCCGCAACTCACGGAAGGGGGACTGCGCACGACCGATGGCGGCGCTGCGGCCTCCCCGGAAGCAGGTTTGAAGGGGTACGGCCCGACTGCCGGCAATGTGTCGGAGGGTGGCTCACAGGAGGCGTGCTCCGGCCCAAAGACCGTTTGTCCGCGTCTGTGTCAAGGCAATCTGACGTTGAACTCGTACGCCGCGGTGCCGTTGCTCACACGCGGAAGTTTTAGCTTGAATGCGGGTCTACTTGCGGGTTTTGGTATCGCGACCGGCACCTCATCCTCGGCCTGCTCATGGCCGTCACTGATGTCGCCGCCCACCGGACGCCCCCGCTTTTACGCAACGGACACGCTCCAGTTGGAGTGGATTTGGCGGCGGATGCAGTGGGCGGGCGAGTTCAAGCTTCTCTGCAGGTGGCCGTCGACGGCGTTGCCGGTGTGCGAGGTCACGGGCGTGACCCCCAGAACGGATTGGTGTGTGCAGACGGATAGATTGCTCTTCAACTGGAGTGGTTTTTGGCGCGTCTTCGTGCGGGACGGGCGTCGCTGTTGCCGGGACGCGTTGGGCCCCCAAGACCCCCCGCTGGAGCCATCGCCCGCGGCCCATGACGCGCTCGAGACGTCTGAGCCGGCTGCCGCGAAAGGCGCTCCACCGGCGGTGAGGCACGCGGCAGCGTCGCCGCCGCCGCGTCGGCATCCCGCCTCCGCTAAACACGAGGAGAGGCACCACCCACAACCGCATGCGCAGCAGGCGCACCACGAGGGGAGTCGCGAGAAGGCTGCTGCCACTGCTGCGGGCGATAAAAATGCGCGCGACGACGACAGGGGCGAAGTGTGTGGCAGGCGTGAAGGTCCTGGTGCAAAGGGACTGAGCCATGGTGCGGGAGAAAGTCGTTTGCGCGCCGCAAGTGGCGGAGAAAGCTACAGGTGGTGGCGTCTGAAGGAGCTTCGGGGCGGGGCGGGCTTTGCCGTAAAGAACGACCTGGCGAGCGGCGTAAACGTCTACTGTGGTTGTACTGGTCACCTTGGTAGGGCGTTAACCGTCTCTTCGCACGTGGACGTGCTTCGCCGCGCGTGCTGCTCCATCACGTCCACCACCAAATCACTCGATCTAGCCGCCCGTCTGCGCATCAACCTCATCACCTGGCACCGCACCGAGTTGGACGTCGGTGTGGGCTGGCGGCCCTTTAAACAGGCTTCCGGCCTCACATGCCGACTGTCCCGCTCCATGGGCCGCACCTCCGTCGGCATCACGATCAATGATGTGGGTACTCAGTACAATAGTCTGATTTCCGGCCGGCATGTGGAGGGGGAGGAACATACAGCGCAAACTGGACACGAAGGAAGTACGCAGCGACGGCGGCGTGACTCACAGGATGACAAGAACCTGGTTCAGGAGAGTTTCGGGGCAAAAACTGCCGATTCAACAAGCTTCACTGCGTGGTTGTTTTCGGACTGGCACGTCCCGTACGTTGGGAGGGTATGGCGGCTGGCTCAATCGCTCGCCGGTTCTGCCTCACTCGCTGCCTCATCGGCGGCCGCTTCTCCTGCAACGGGCGTGGTGGCACATAACCCGGGTCTCCGCAAACGCCTCTCACAGATCGTCCCAAGGGGACTTGAATGTGCGGACGCGCTCTTCCGTCAAACGGAGTTTGACCTCACTGTGGGTCTGGAGGAGGAACGACACAATTCAAGGAGGCTGCGCGGCTTCGTTGTTCTCTCGGCCCATTAGATAGACCGGATGGATGCGGTGAGAGGGGAGGAATGCGAAGTTACAGCCGCCGGCAGGAAGGGGGAGTTTGCGTGGCGGCAGAGGCGCCGGGTTGACTTCTCCGTCGCCACTCCTTTCACTGTTTGTTGGCGATGATGATGGTGGTGGTGGTGGCGGTGGTGAAGAAGGAGGCTTCAAAAAAAAAAAAAAGGGCAAGAGGGGCGCAAAAAGAATATATAATAAAATAAAACAAAATGAGGAGCCTGTGGTGGCGGTGGTGGTGGTGGCGGTGTCGACGGGGGTCGTGAGCGCCTCCCTCAGGGAGAAGTGCGCGGGCTGCCTCGATACGTTTGACGCCGCTGGTCGCCGTCAGCTCCCCCTTCCCACGCCGCTCTGCGGGCGGATTGTAACGCATTCCGCTGCCGCTCTGCCGGCGCTGGCGTCGCCCCGCCTCTCCTCCCTCTCTCGCATTGCCGTCATTGATTGTTTCTTTTTTTTTTCATTCTCTCGCTCTCTGTTTTCGTGTGTGTGGTTGTGTGGCTTTTCCTCACTTCGTGTATTATCTGTGCCTTTGCCTCACCTCTTCCTCACTCAACTGCCGGGAGGGTAAACGTGGCCGGCACTCTCCACCTTCCCTCTTGCCGCACTCTGCCTGCGGGCGTAGACGCCGCATGGACCTGCGTTTCTCCCAATCCCCCCTCCCACGTCATTTTTTCTTTTCCTTCTTTTTTTTTTCGTTAGTTTTTTCTGCGGATTGCTGCTCACGGACGCCCATAATCCACGCACACCAACACGCAACCCGTGCGTGGGGAAAGGCCTTTACTGCCTCTGTTGCCGTGCGCCCGCGTGTGACGGGGCCGCAGCTCTCTCGGCACGCGGCACACAGAACGAGGTGTCTAATACGCGCGGAAGCCGTCTTGGAGCAGAGCGAACGGGCAAACCCGAAGGAGCCTTGATAGCCTCAGTGCCTTCTATCAATCCATTACTCAATCAACCAACCAACTATATATATATAGTTATTTTCTTCCAAAGCTGTGCTAGCATTACTTGTAGTGGAGGCGGAGGTGCATGCTGGTGACGCCTGTGGCTGCCCGGGACAGCTGTGGACTGCGCAGCGAGAGGCAGCCTTCAGGGGCGTGCCTGCAGGAGCCTTGCCCGAGCAGTTGCTTAATGCAAGATCCAAACGCTTTAGAGCGCAGCTCTGCGGAAGTTTGCGGAAGCCCCATGCACGGCTCTACGCCAGTACGAGATCCGATGCATGGGGCAAACTGCGTCACAGCGCTGCCGGGGCCGGACAATGCTTTCCCCATTGAGTCGTCGGATGCTGTGAAAAATGCAACTGCGTCGAATAATCACAGTGGAGCGAGTTCGCCTTCTACGGGTAGTGGAACCGGGTACGAGCATGTGCTCGGAATTGTAAACCCCATTTCGGGGGAATCTCGAGTCGCCCAGTACGTCTTGCGCTCCATGCGTGAGCTGCTTGGGGCGGATCGCGTCATCTTGCTTGACGCGCCGCTCTTTGCAAACCCGGCGCCACTGATTGAAGCCATTCGCAACTACGCCGTGCGTTTTATTCGTCAAGGTTCAAACGGCACACCCCTGGCAAGCGGCACTGAGGGCGGCAGCGGCAACGCCACTGCCTGTAGTCGTGCCAACGGCAGTGAATTGGAGCGGCGTGGAACAGTCTTTGTGTGCGGCGGTGACGGCACGGTGGCCTTCGTCATGGAGCAGCTGGACGTCGTGTATGAGATGATCAAAAGCGCGGAGATGACCTCCCGTGGGGCTGAAGCAGTGCGGGATGCGGGGGTTGGAATGGGCGGTTTAAGGCTACGTGTCTTGCTCCCCGCAGTGGCTGTCCTTGCGCTTGGCACAGGCAATGACTACTCCAACTGTATGGGGTTTGGTAGCGGCTACCTGCGTCACAAGCTCTCGGGTCTTTGCTGTTGCATGGAGAACGCCATTGAGCCGTTTGTCCGGCACGCCGTGACTGCGCCTGCGATCCCGTTCGACCGATGGACGGCGCGACTGGTGCCTCTCACCGCCATCTGGCAACAACAGGAAAATCAGCAGCAGAGACAGCCGCCCCCGCCAAAGTCTGGGGCGAAGGAATACGAAGTCTATTCCCCCGTTAGCTCGCTGAGGGGCGACGTGGAGGCGACGGCGGAGCATAAGGAGGGCGGCAAGGAAGAAGAGGAGGCGGCGGCAGCAGCGGTGACGGCGAACTCAGTGGATGTGGACGCGCTGGACTGGGATGCATTGGACGCCGCTGGGGCTTGTATGAAGTATAATTTTATTAATTATTTTAGCGTGGGCTTTGACGCGTATGTAGCCCAAAAATTTGATGCCTTTAGAAGGAGGCACCTCAAGTTTTGCTCAACTCGGATGCACAACAAACTCGTGTACGCCACGTACGGCTTGAAGGCAGTGTTTCGTTGCTCCACACTGCGTCCATGCATCCCCAGTGTCTGCGTTCCACAGCTGACACGGTCTGCCTCTAGCGGCGTCGATGCGTCCCAAGGACCCTCTGGGCAAAGTGAGGAGAAAACTTCCATGGTGAACTTGTCTTTGCCCAAGGGCAGCAAGGCGTTGCTCGTCACGAATATTAGCTCATACGCCGCAGGGACGCGTCCGTGGAAGGAGGGAAAGGGCCACTTATATCGTGACGACCCTGGCACACACCCCATGGTCATCACTCCTGTCTGCGTGAATGATCGTAAGATGGAGGTGCAGGCTCTTGGTGGACTTTTTCAAATGGGGCTGCTTCAGCTGGGGATCGGCAAGGGCGCCTCTAAGCTGGCACAGACGCGGGAACTGCTTCTGTTTGTCCTCTGCAAATCAACAGACATTTCCCGGCGGCCGCAGTTACAGAAGGGTGGGGGAGCGACGGCTGGAAAGCTGGGCGGTGAGAGAGACACGCCTCTGTGCTTGCAAATTGACGGTGAAGCTATTGGGAGGATTACGCAACCGACTGTAGTTTACATCACGGAGCTGCATAGACCCCGTGTGTATGTGCGCTGCCGCAACCCGAGCGTGGTTCGAAGCCCCATCCAAGACGAAGACCTGCTGCTGTAGCTGAGGGGAGATGCCGCCTCATGGAGGTTGGCCTGCGCGTGTGCGCTGAGGGTTGCTTCTGCTTACACTTCCCCGTTACCCCCTCTTTTTTTTTTGCCTTTCTGCCGTACCCACCCCAGTCCCCCGCCACTAATGCCCTCCACGCGGGGGGAGCGGGTGCGGCGGCTACGCGGGAGGCCCCCCGCACCCACCCACTAAAGAAGGCCGCTTTGCGAGTTTGTAACGAGATCCCGGCAACTGCCGCGGCACAAAGTTTCAGCGCCTTGGCGTACGCGTGGGTGGGTGCTGTTGGATGGATCTCCTCGTAGGTGGGGTGGGGGGATTGTTGTCACACTCAGCCCAACCGCAGCGTTTTTTTTTTCTTTTTCTTTTTGTGTCTGTAGCTGCTCCTTTTTGTATTTTGTATTTTTTTTTCCTCCCCTTATGTGAATAGGGCGGGGAGAGTGGGGGGGGGCTTCGTCAGGCGCGTGCTGCTTTCCACTTCTTCCGGGTGCTGTGTGAAGGCGGTGAGGGGAAGGGCCAGTGAATGGCCAACCACACGCCGTGGATCTTCCTCGTGGTCGCCGGAGTGCCGCTCTTCATGACATACACCAAGGCGAAGCGCATGGACGCGAAAGAAACCCATGAGATTCAGATGCGTGTGAAGTACCGCGCTGAGTTTTGGGCAAAGGGCAACGAATTTGTCCGGCTCCACAGCAACTACGTGACGCGACAACTGATGGATACGGCGGATGTGATGATTGGAGAGGAAACCACGGGGCCAAAGGCAGTTGCAGCAGTCAATGATGTGAGGCCGTGGTGGCGGGTGTGGGGGTAAACCTGTAGTGACAAACAACGGCAGTGATGAACTCGACGAGGGAGTAGACTGGGGGAAAAAAAAAATTAAGTGCAACGGGGAAGAAGCGAAATACAGGCTCCCACTCCCCCTTCTGTCAATAACCGGCCCTGCACCCGGGTGATGGCTGTCCCGCAGACGCACCCGGTTATGTCCCACAACCGTTCATTTTTTCCT